GTGTATCAGAGTGAACTGTGCTCCATAGGGTTTTCAATGGCCAATTTTTCCAGAGTAGATCACCAGGCCTTTCTTTCAAGGTCTGGGTGGACTTGAACCTTCAACGTGTGGGTGACTAGCCATGCACATTAACCATTTCCACTACTCAAGGAATCTCCTTCATGAACAGAGCTATCTCCTTACACAGAATGAAAACTAAATTTTAATATGTCTGGCACTTTACACCCAGTATCTCAATTAATCCTCACAACTATCCACGGGCTCAGAGAGGTCAGGCAGGTCACAAAGTGGAGAGGGGTTCAGAGGGCCTTGAGGGCCCAGGCACTCTAGTGAGCCTAGTCGAGGCACAGAGGCAGCCCGAGAGAGAGCTCTCAGCGGCCCAATCTGTAATCAGTGTCTTATAGCACCATCTCTCCAGTGAACAGAGAGGCACCTAAGGGGCGGAAACGTGCCTGAACCATCTAGGACGCACAGAGCCTGACACCAAGCAGGGACTCAGTATCTAACCGTCGAACAAATGAATGATTCAACAAGTGTTCACCGAGCACTCACTATATGCCAGGCAACGTGGTGGTACAGTTAACATGCTCAGCTTCTAACCAAAAGGTTGTGGGTGCCCAGAGGCACCTCAGAAAAAAGGCCTGGCAATCTACTTCTGAAAAGCCAGGCGTTCCAAACCCTGCAGGGCACTGTTCTAATGTGACATGAATGGAGTCACCGTGAGAGGGAGTCGACTAGATGACAACTGGTTGGTTAGTTGGATAGTTGGTGGGTGGTATGGGTGGTTAGCAAAACAGGCATGATTCCAGCTTGCCACCCTAAGGATACAAGTGTATTCAAACCCACATACAAATGCACGATTCAACAGATTTAAATACTAGAATGCTACAGAGCAGGAGTCAGCAAACTAAGGCCTGCAGGCCAAATCAGGCCCACGGTCTATTTCTGCAAATAAACCATCTGTTTACATACCGTGTATGGCTGCTTTTACACTACAACAGCAGAGCAGAGGAGGGCCACAAAGCCCAAAATACCTACTATCTGGCCCTTTACAGAAAAAGCATGCTGAGCCCTGGTAGAGAGCAAGGAAAAGGGACCCACTTACCAATGGTACGGTATCAGTGGTTTGAAAAAGAATCGAGGTTTTTAAAAAAAAAAAAAAAAGTGGGTGGAGCAGAGAGCCAAGAGAAATGTGGGGGTGGGGATGTGGGTCTTCATCCCAAAGCAAAGAGAAGGGGGGGCATTAATAGGGAGGTGGGTGAGGGAGTCTGCATTCTGCAGGGTTCTCTCAATGCAGGGGGAGAATGCCCAGCTCAAACACCGATACAGTATGAATGTCACCACGGCCACCCAAGAGACAGTGATGGCAGGGGCAGGGTGAGACAGAGGAGATGGGGAGGGGCAAACAGACTCATTCCAGGGCTAGAACGCTTGTCAGGGATGAAGAGGAGACAGGGCTTGTCTAGTTTCTCAGGTCCCACACAGGTATTTTAAATGTGTACCAAAGCTACCTGCTGAGGTCAACCCTTCTCATTGAGCAGAGACCCCGATGTGGCCTTTCGTACTTAAAGGTGGTCCACCTCTAGCCAAACACACTTCAAAGACAAGAACAGGACTCTGATAATGACAAGGAACCTTTCAGGGGTTAAAACAAGTCCCTAATTACTGGGATCCACCATCAACACCCATGGAAGCAGCAGTCAAGAGATCAGAGGTCAGATTTGCACTGGGCAAATCTGCTGCAAAGGACCTCTTCACAGTGTTGAAGAGCAAAGATGTCACTTTGAAGACGAAGATATCTCTTTGAAGACTAAGGCGTGCCTAACCCAAGCCATAGTATTTTCAATAGTCTGATGTGTGTGTGAAAGCAGGACAATGAATAAGGAAGACCAAACGAGAGTTGATACTTTTCACCTGTGGTGCTGGCAAAGAATGCTGAAAGTACCATGGACTGCCAGAAGAACTAACAAATCTGTCCTGGAGGAAGTGCAGCCAGAATGCTCCTTGGGAGCAAGAATGGCCAGACTTCATCTCACCTTCTTTGGTCACGTTGTCATTAGGCATCATTCCCTGGAGAAGGATGTCATGCTTGGTACAGTGGAGGGTCAGTGAAAAAGCACAAGACTGTCAATGAGATGGATTGACACAGTGGCTGCAATGATGGGCTCAGGTATAGAAAGAATTGTGGGGTTGGCACAGGACCGGGCAGTGTTTCGTTCTGTTGTACAGAGAGTCACTGAGTCAGAGCTGACTCAATGGCACCTAACAACAACAATATGCATCCATATAATTTTGTTTCCTGCCCTTTGTATCTGTCATAATTATTATGTATTTTTCAGCTTAAAACAAGTGCTATAGGAACATTTTTATTACATAAAAATATAAGTATTATAAATATTAACATTCCATCCAACTGATACACTGCACTTTATTAATCATTTCTCCACTGCTGGGGTCTTAGATTTCTGAGTTTTCACGATTATAAGCTACCCTGAAAATAATTTTATGCAGGAAGGTATTTCAGGTAGTTCCCTCTCAACAGATTGCTGGAAGCAGGATGATAAGAACCTAGAAACACTTGAGAGGAGCAGGCACTGCCCAGACAGTCTACAGGTCACCAACCCAATCGCTGCAACTGCTGGCTCCAACTCGCTGCCCCTTCGAGTGGAGAGAGGGTAAAGGGAGGCTCCAGCTCTCTGCACCTTTGGGTCTTGTGGGTAAAGGGCTCAAGAAGCCATCCACATACCTGCTGTCGGAATCGGAGGCGATCTCTTTTCTCCCTCCAAAGCGGATCTGGCACTGCACAGAAAAAGAAGTCACGGGGGTCAGCTGTTGGGATGGGACAGGCAATGTCACAAAGCAGTCCATGTGAACCTCCAGGGTCAGGAGGAGGACACAGTACCAGAGACCCCGGGTGCCGAGTCAGGGCTTCCCTGTGCCCTGGGTGTCAGGCCAGGAACTAAAGACGTGGACAGCCCAGGCTTCCGGCTGCACATAAAGGAAACCCTTATCTCCCACTTGTTACAGAAGTGCGCCTCGTGGGAAAACAAAGCTGAGAGGAAAGCAAGCCACCCAGCCTTCTGCAAATGACTTAGAAGTATCTCACATCTGCCAGCAGCTGACTGCCTGGAACTCAGAGCCCTTAACAGGCGATCACAAAAACGTTCACAAATCTGTGATGCTGCTTCCCTCTGACGAAGCCCCAAAGTTGTTGTGACGGACTTTAAAACTACATCTGCACAAATCACTTCAAACGAGCCGTCGGGAATAAAGACAGCAAACACTCTCTTTGAAGGTGCAGGATCTCCACAGTGGGTAGCAGGCTTGCAGTGGTCCTGAACTTACTATCAAAAAACATATACAAAAGCTCAAATATGTTTGTCAAAATTCACGGGCTTGGACATTTAAAACTGGTGTGTTTTATTCTGTGTAAATACAGTCAATAAAGTTGACTGTTAAGGGCATTTACAACACTTTCACCCCCAAACTAATCATAATAATGGGGGCTCCAGACAAGGGCTCCAATTTATTTCTGTCCAACTGCTACATTTAAAAAGGGTCAACCTGCCTCCTGACCTTCTTGTCAGAGTTGTCATTTCTGGACCAAAGAAAGAAGAAACTAGTAATGTGGGCTCCATGAGGAATCCCTGGGTTGTGGAAATGGTTAAGCACTCAACTACTGGCCAAAAGGTAGGTGGTTCAAACGCACCCAGAGGCCTCAGAAGACAGCCTGCCATCTGCTCCCAAAAGGTCACAGCCTTGCAAACCCCATGGAGCAGTTCTACTCTGCACACACGGCATCACCATAAGTCGGAACTGACTGGATGGCGACTAACAACCGCTACCACCAAACAATATAGTAATGTGGGTTCCGTATTTACTACCGACCAGGCACTGGCCAGGCCAGTACCACTCCAACAAAGCAGATGCTGTTACAAGTCAATGTGGGCTCCCAGCAAGCCCACGTGTGTCACAGGAGAGCTGTGCTCCACGGGGTTTTCAATGACTGTTTTTTTTTTAAGCAGATCACCAGGCCCTTCTGAGATGCCTCACCCAAAAATCAAACTCACTGCTATCAAGTCGACTCCGACTCAGTGACCCCCTCCTTGGGTTTCTGGGGCAGTATCTCTACGGAAGCTGATTGCCCAACCTTCCTTCCGAGGAGTAGCGGGTGGGATTGAACCACCAGCCCTCTAATTAGCAGTCAAACATGTTAGGCACTATGCCACCAGAGCTCCTGAGATGCCTCAGGGTAGACTCAAACCACCAAACTTTTGGTTAGTAGCCGAGCACTCTAATCTTTTGCACCACGGCTTTGACCTACTGAAATAAATGCAATTCCCTCAAGAGCCCTACGGAGATAAGTGACCCCAGTCACAGAGGAGAAGAGAGACCTTCAGAGACATGAGATGAGTTGCCCCAAAATACACAACTGTGAAGAGATGAAGCTGGCATTCAACCCCAGGTGTGCCTGAGCCCAAAGGCCATGTCCTTTCCACTACACCATGGCACCTTGAGATCTGGGAAGAGGCTAAATTCTCTGGGGTCACTTTAACACTTAATACACACTCATCTGTTAAATTACTCATCTCCTGTTATTATAATTAATCAAAAAAAAAAAAAAAAAAAACTGCCATCAAGTCGATTCCGACTCATAGCAACCCCCTTTGGGTTTCTAAGGCAATAAATCTTTATGGAAGTAGATTGTTCAGTCTTTTTTTCCCCAGAGTGACTGGTGAGTTTGAACCGCCAACCTCCTGGTTAGCAGTCAAATCCCTATAATTACACGCATGTAACTGTCAGTGGCTCCTTCCAAAAAATGAGCTCCTAGTTGCATCTAACTCTGCCACTTCTTAATGAAGCCTTGACCCAGTTATTGAACCCCTCTGAGCCTCAGTTTCTTCATTAGTAAAATGGAAGTAATTACAGTAGCCATCTCCTAGGGTGGCTGGAAGATTAACTGTCAAGCACTTAGCAGAGAGCCCAGCACAGTGAAGGTGTGATAAACGAGAACAACCAGTCTTGTGTGTCTTCGCCTGCCTGGGATCCGGCAGGAAGACTGAAGCTTGGTGTCCAGGCTGGCTTCCAAGCCCGGCCAGAAGCCGGCAACAGCAGCAGCACCAATCAATGAGTACAGAGCCCACCTGGAGGGTCCAGAGGCTGACTATCCTGCACCTGGCCTCACACCTCCTTATTTCTGTTCTCATGCTTATGGGGTCCCAACTCCAAACCACTACCTCAGCACCCTAAAAAGCAGCCTCAGAAAAACAACTCCCTGCCATCAAGTCATTTACAACTCATAGCAACCCCCACTGGGTTT